ACGAGGAAAGCTAGAAATTTGAAGCTTTGGGGGAATATTCCCTACCCGTGCACCATCAAAAGCTTTCAAACTCAGCTTCTTAGGACCGCCCGGGGCTTACGCACGGGCAAGTGGAAATTTTGGCGCGGAAATTACTAACCCGGAAACGGGAAAAGCCAGAAAGCTGAAATTTTGCGGGAATGTTTCCTACTTATGTACAACCAAAATCAGTTGTTTGGAGGCGCCCGAGATCCACCTACGCCACATGTGGAAGTTTTGGCGCGAAAATTACTAACTCGGGAACGGGAAAAGCCAGAAAGCTGGAACTTTCGGAGAATATTTTCTAGTCTTGTACGACCAAAATCAAGTGTTTAGAAGCACCCGGGGCCCACGTACGGCCACATGGAAATTTTGGCGCGAAAATTACTAACCCGGGAACGAAAAAAGCTAGAAAGCTGAAACATTGGGGTAATGTTCCCTCTCATGTGTGATCAAAAAATCTCAAATTTAACTCCTCTTGTGCGGCCTTTTTTGCGGACTAGCAACTTTCCGTTTCTCGGGTTACTGAAGACAACATCTACAACTTACATACCACACAGCTGCACAATTAACTGCCCGAATTTCGAGGATCAGTATGTCACAGGGTTAGCTACTGTGATTTCTTGCGAACTTGCTACAGCACGAAAGCATAACCGCACCGGGCAGTCTTGTGCGTTCCAGCCTGGGTTCAGTTTTGGTACATTTCAGCCCCATCCAGGAACTGTTACACTCTTTGATGAGGGCTCTTAGTCATTATATAAGTCTTCCATCCCTTTCACTGGGCCTTGGGTTTTCCTTCATTCGGAGTTGACTACCGGCTTGCCCCTGAACATTCAACTCCACTATGCCTGGAAGACTATCGTCGGCACCTAACTCTAAGGTTGCCCCTACGTTCGAGGGCCTATCATTCTCTTCTGCTTCTCACTTGTCCAGCACTTTGCATCTCTTGTTTAGCAATCCTCCAAGACTCTCACGTCCCAAGTGACACATTTCGTACTATTTACCTGTTATTTGCATGCTTCACTTCCAGTAAATCAAAATATATTTTTACTCATCTTGCGCACACAGTCAACGCAATACGCCACACTACAATCCACGACACGTAAAGAGTTCCCAAATGAATCATAAAAATTTTATTGTTTGTGAGCGAAGAGATACATCCATTGCTCGCTCCAGCAGATGAGTAAATATAAATATACATATACCAAGAATACTAAGGTTGTCCGAGCAGTAAATGCAGGTGTTCTATGTAAGAGATGTAACTGACTGATTCCACACGCCAAGGGTGCAGCGTCCAAGACTGTTCGATCTTGGGCTTCGTGTGCATATCCTGCGCTCCACTGCTCATGAACTCATGAACATTATGCATACATGCGTGTACTACATACATATATGCATAATGTTCACGAGTTCATGCATAATCAAACTGCACCACCCACTCAGCACCTTCCTCAATTCACAGTTTACCCCTGAATTTGTTATTTAAGGCAAAGAGCAGTTGAACAGAGGATCCGATATTGATTTCGTCATCTTTCTAAAATTCGTTTTTAAACCAAAAATGTTCTAAGTTTTCGGACTCAAGCAGTTTAGATGTGCATGGGCACGCCCTCACCCGCACGCAATGCGTAGAATAAACGTTTGTCACATAGTTGCAAGCATGGTGCTTTGCAACATATGTATGCTTTTCTTGATAACCTGTAGAAAGTTGTCTTCCTCACTTTTCAGAAACGGAACAGAGTCGAGGCAGGGAGAAGGCGATTAAATGTAGCCCGTCTAGCACTATAAATTGCGTTCAGAATCTCGATCAAAAGTTTCGCATGAAGTTTCCCACGACTGTGAAGCACGTTAGAGTAGCGCAAAACGAATGAATGCTGTGAAAAGGTGACCGGAAGGCGAGGCAGGAGGACGAAGTAGAGGCAGGTGCGGTTGATCAGCGGATAGCAATTAGTGTTGATACGCAGAGGACAAATGAGTTCGTCGAAATCTTGATCATCGGTGATGCGCATAGCGCATTGATAGATGTACTTCTCGCTGATTGCTAGGAGCGCCGATATACGCCGATCACAGCAGTGAAATGGATTTGCCGGCACCATCCGCACATAGATTTTATAAGCAAGATCCTTTTCGCCAAGCAGCGGCAAATAAACTAAAAAGAAACTGTTAGTTAATGGAACTGTAGAAGCAGTGCACGATCAGTCACTTCTGAAACGCAAAACAGGAAACACAGCAGAAACCAGCTCCACAGCAAATTTTGGATACGAAACAGATGTTCGCATGTATTTTTTCAAGTCAGCAAATACTGCCTAAGTTTCATATATGATACAGATTATGGTAACATATTTTTTAAAGCTTGGATAAAATATTTGCATAGTGTCTATTTTGGCGCCTATCCTACAGTAATAATTCAATTTTTTCGCCACAACATCTAAAAAATCCGGTTTTTCATGCGTTTTTGCATGCGCGCAAATTGCAAAAAAACACATATTGGGAAAAGGCTGTCTGTGTGTGTGTCTGTGTGTTCGCACTTTTTGTCACCCACTTTCAACTCGAGAATCAGA